AAAGTTCTGGCCATAAATTAACGGAGAAAATGTCCCTTTTTTTCCACAGTGTAAGAGATGTGAGAGTGAGAGTATGCATAGTAGAGCATTTTGAGAAACTTAAGAGAGACAGTTTTCCTTAACCTATATAACAGTCTTACAGTAGCACGAAGAGAAGGTAACAGTTTGTTGATATGGTTTTCCCAGGTGAGGCATTTATCAATCTCGACACCAAGATACTTTACCACACTGACTTGATCAATAGAGTAATTACCAATCTTAATATTTAACTTTTTGTCACTGGAATATGGTTTGGAGAAAAGAACACAATTGGTTTTCTTATAATTCAGGCTCAGCTTATTGAAAAGGAACCAATCATTAAGAAGGCTTAGGTCATTAGAGAGATTCAGTTCTAGATTATGCAGGTTGGGGTCTGTGCAAAGGAGCACAGCATCATCAGCATATAATTGTATTTTACCACACAACCCAAGGAAGCCGATGTCGTTAATATAAATTATGAAAAGTAATGGTCCCAAAATAGAGCCTTGAGGCACGCCACAAGTGATGAGCTTCTTTGTACTGTTGACGTCCCCAATTGTTACATATTGGGTACGCTGAGATAGATAAGATTTAAACCAATTAAGTTCTTTGCCTTTGATTCCAATTTTCTCCAGTTTATTGAGTAGAATTTCATGATTAACCGTATCAAAAGCCTTTTTTAAGTCGGTAAATACAGCCCCACAGTAAAGATTATCATCCAAGTCTGCTTGTATATTGGTAATCAGATCGAAGACTGCCCCCTGGGAATCCTTATCCTTTCTAAAGCCATACTGAGATTTATGGAAAAAGTTAATATCAGCCAGGTATGTTTCCAATCTTTTCTTGACTGCCATCTCCTCTACCTTGGATATACCAGAGAGAATTGAGATAGGCCTATAGTTGCCAGGATCAGATTTGTCACCAGGTGTAGCTAAAGGCTTGACCGCAGTTATTTTACAAAGTGAGGGAAAATACCTTGTTCAAAGGATTTGTTTATTAACTTGGTCAGAGGCGGCACTAATATATCAATATGATCCTTCAACAATTTACTACTAATTCCATTAGGGCTGGAAGATTTATTGCCTAATCCTTTGATTATTTGGTATATTTCACAATCAGTAGTATGAGTGAAGGTAAAAGTACAATCTGAACCTGGTATATCGTAATTGTTGATTGGTTTATTCAAGATATTTGATAGTGATGGACCAACATTTACATAAAACTCATTAAGCACATCAACAATCTCAGTTTGACTAGAGAAAACTTGACCATTGTAAATTAACTTATCTATAGTAGTGTGACCCTTTGACTGATCAACGCCTGCTGTCTCCTTCAGAAATGTCCATATAGATTTACTGTCACCAACACAGGATTCAAGTTTACTACTGGTATAGTTCTTCTTTGGGTATTTCCTTAGTTTATTGATTTTATCACATATATTATTGTATTCCTCTTTAAAAAGTTGATTATTGGGGTGAAGCTTACGCTTCCTATATAATACTTGTTTGGTGAGTGACATTTCAGCGAGCTCAGGCGTTGCCCAGGGGTTAAGCTTAGAATACTTATTCCTAAACTTACATCTAGTAACAGATTCACTTAGAGCATCACTAATACTTTTATGGAGGGTGTCAGAAAATTCTTCAACAGATTCACTATCAACTAACCCACTGATTTTGTTATTCAAAACTTCTTTGAGTTTGTTGGAATCAATCTTATTAAAGTATTCAGGGTGATCTGCCAGTTCAGCAGTCGATGCACTATATCTCATAGAGAGAATAATTGAGTTATGGTCACTAATATCATTGGCAGCTGTTATGATATTTATAGTGCCCCTGTTGAAATTTGATGCAATGTGGTCAATAATGGTTCCACTATTAGGTCTAGTAATTTTGTTGTTGAGAATAGAGAGCCCTTTGGAGGACAAGTAGGTGAGGTAGTCATCACTGGGAACAGAACTGGTAAGAATGTCAATATTAAAGTCACCTAAAACTAGGCAGGGCTCATTCCCAATTTTTAAGAGGAATGGATCAAGAAGGTTGATGCACTCTTCAATTTTAGACCTATGTGGGTTGTATATCACAAGCAGATTGAGAATCTTTCCAACTACCAGGTTAAAATGTTGATTAAAGTGTCCACTCTCGAAAACACACAAAACTTTGGGTGTTTTAACGGCGTTACAAGAAATTATACTTCACATTGTGTTTCAATCGGGGATTCGGACACCGACAAAACTGCCATTTTTGTACCTTTTCGGCGCTATATGTGGTACAAGAAGTCAAAAATTTTGACTGAAAACATGTACATGCCTTTCTCTGCAGGTGCTTTGTTGTTACATAAGGGGTATTTGCTGATAGGAAGTCAGTGCAAGTGGTAATTGAGCTAAATACACTGATGGACAAAATTGAAGCACCACTTTTTGTTTTCCGAGCCAAATCTGAATGAGCCGGCCGATTTCCGTGAAACTTCGCTCAGTGGTGGTCGAAAGGGTTGTCCACACGTACCCCAAACGGTGGGACCGCGGGTCGCAGGGGGTGGCGTCAAAAGGGCCTAAAGTGCCGCGGGGCAGAAACGGCCGCTGGGTTAAAAAAAATGGGTCGCGTACAACACACTTTCGGTGAGGGTATGGGGTCCTGCACCTCAGGATGCGTTCAGAGGGACGTCCTCAAAGCATCCCTGCGAAAAAATCCGCCACCGAAAGCTTCATCCCCTTAGAATCCACCCCTAGACGTAAGGACGGTCACTTAGGCCCCAGGGTGTGCCCCACTGCTGAGAATGGGCGTCCGTGGCGTCAGGTCCCCCTTTTGGTGTCCCCAAGCACCCCCACGAGAGCGCGAGAAATTTGGAACAACCCCCACCCCTTTAGGGGTGGGGTAGTTAGGCCCTTCTGGTTTATGGTTCAAAGGGGGGGAAAAAAGCGGCGGCAAATGTTGAGAAATGATTGAGGGGGCACAGTCTACCCCAGACTATCGCAAAAACCCCGGGTTAAACACAGCGCACGCAGCAGCACCGTCAAAAACCACCCCCCACCCCCTGTTGTGCGCTTAGGCCCCACCGACGTGGTCCTGGCGTGCGGCACTGATGCAGCACGGCAGGGGAGGTCTGCAGGCATCACATCGAGTCCATCCCGCCGCATCGCAGCCCTCGGGAACGCCTCAGGGCCCCCAAAATGATGAGGGGTTGAAAAATCAACCCCCAAGTTCGGAGGGGTGCACAGGGTGAACCCGTGGGCGGAAAATTTTGATTCAGGGTGGCAAAGTGACTCGAGACCTTCCACTCAGTGGCTGCAAAAGGGCCCACACTGCAAAAGCGTACCGTTAGGGTTTAAGTCGGCGTTCGCGCAACACCCAACCTTTCTTTCCGTCTCGGGCAGATCCGGACCGCGCCGTGGAGGTAGGCAACCCATTCGTCAACTTCCAAATTTATTCCTTTGTTTGAGATGAAAAAGAGAGTCTTCAAGCATAAATTGTGATCCAAACTTGATTGATGTAAAAAATTTTGCAGTCCACAACAAAAACAATGGAATTTGCACGGACTTAGTGGAACTGTGACAGATGGGTTGCCTACCTCCACGGCGCGGTCCGGATCTGCCCGAGACGGAAAGAAAGGTTGGGTTTGCGCGAACGCCGACTTGAACCCTTACGGTACGCGTTGCAGGTGTGGGGCCCTTTTCAGCCACTGAGTGGAAGGTCTCGAGTCACTTTGCCCCCCTGAATCAAAATTTTCCCCCCACGGGTTACCCTGTGCACCCTCCGAATTTGGGGGGGGATTTTTTAACCCCTCATCATTTTGGGGGGCCCCGAGGCGTTCCCGAGGGCTGCGATGCGGCGGGATGGACTCGATGTGATGCCTGCAGACCTCCCCCGCCGTGCTGCATCAGTGCCCCACGCCAGGACCACGTCGGTGGGGCCTAAGTGCACAACAGGGGGGGGGGGGGGTTTTTTTACGGGCTGCTGCGTGCGCTGTGTTTAACTCGGGTTTTTGCGATAGTCTGGGGTAGACTGTGCCCCCTCAATCATTTCTCAACATTTGCCGCCGCTTTTTCCCCCCTTTTAACCATAATCCAAAGGGCCTTACTACCCCCCCCCCGTAAAGGGGTGGGGGGTTTTTCCAAATTTCTCGCCCCTCGTGGGGGTGCTGGGGACACCAAACGGTAGACCAGTTTATTTTTCGAAAGTGAGAATTTCCCCTGGGTTCCCCGACTCAAAATGACCGAAATGGTGAGAAACTCTTAATTTGAAAGCCCAAGGTCGTCAGACTTACCAAAGCCGTGCCCCCAAAACCCCATTAAAAAGGGAAAAAGCCCAAAATTTTTTTTTGGACTTTTACCAAACTAAGTTTGACTCTAGGGTAAACAGGCCATAATACGACCCTTGGGCAAAAAATTTTGTCCCTTTTTCGATATCTCGACTCCTTCATGCCCCAAAAGGCCTCCCCAACCGCGAGCATAAAAAAAACGGCGCGCGGGCGGTTGGGGAGGCCCCT